CTCGTGAACATAACACGTTCACGTAGCGAGAGCAACAGGCTGAAGAACATCCAGCAGGTAAGATTGAATCAACCCACTGTGAAGTAATGAGCGAATTTTCACGTTACTTATATAAATAGAATAGGATGCTCGTTCCTTAAATTTAGGATTTTATGTTTAATAATTCCTGTCCAAATTAATTCCTCATATATGTTTAATGTTATAGATTCTCTTTATTAATCTATCAGAACATCATCAATTTGTGAGTTGAATTACATGTTAGTGGTGGAGAAGGGAGGATTCTTCACATCCCTCATCATTGGGCAATTTTTCATCTCTGCATGTGAGTGGTGAAGATGTGAGTGATGAAGATGTGAGTGGTGAAGATGCCCTTCTACACTCCCCTCACCCCTCCCCCTCCATTAAAGGCTTGTAAAGGCTCTTGTAACGTCTTCCTTTAACCAGACTCTATTGATGAGCTTCTAACGGAGTATCGAGACCGTTGATAATGGGGCTGTAGCTGTACAATATAATCCGGATTAGGTACTAGACCGGAAGTTGTTTAACGGTTACTAGGGTTACCTAGCAGTTTGTGATGCTGGTGCGCAGGCTATGATGCTGGTGCTCATGGTGTGATGTCGGTTCGCTGGGTATGATGCTGGTGCGCATGGTGTGATGATGGTGCGCCTTGTGTGATGCTGGTGCGCATGGTGTAATGCTGGTACGTAGGCTACGATGCTGGTGCACAGATTACGATGCTGGTTCGCTGGGTATGATGCTGGTGCGCATGGTGTGATGTCGGTGCGCAGGCTACGATGCTGGTGCGCACACATTAATTCTAAAATGTAAATTGTAAATTTTCCTACTTTTTGCACTCTATTTTATCCAGTCTTGCATCAATTCGCATTTCCATATTAGTGACAATAACTTATATCTTTAGCTCAATTTATCACTTCAAAATGATCAGATATGGCTTTGAATTTTTCATAGCTCGCATGGGTCACCTAAATTCGCCTAAGTGAGTTTAAAATTATTAATTATTACAGCTAGTAATCGGCAGTTCCTTTAAAATAAAATGTCATCGAGGGTGATGAATTAGTCAAGACTTAACCTTTATTAACAGACACCTCTACTTTTATACGATTTTTATTGACGACCGTTACTTCTTTTAATCCTTCTCAACAATAAGAACTTTAATCTCTAGTAACGGTCACTGGTAATTTTGACGCAGTGAATTGCTTTAAAAGGTTTGTGCTGAAAAACTGGAAAGGCGTCTTAGATGGATTAACGGAAGCGTCTTTGTATTGCCTTTTATTGCTGGAAGGTTTAAAGCTTTGCTTGCTTAGATACTCGAGTGCAACCGGGGCTTGAGAGCTCCATACCCTTCAACTGCTTCCTGTCTAAAGAAATGCTGCCCGCCACTGCAGATTTAACACTTAATTGATTTTATAGCATGCACATTTTATTGCCGGACTAGTTTATTCGTACTTGATTTAAAAATTTTTCTTTTTTAATTACTGAACCTCAATTCGTGCCATAGACTTTATACATAATATTCTATGTATTGTGTGCGACAATTTCGTACCATTCGATACAATTTATTTTCTCAAATTATATCACCGTTATCTCTTTCATGTACTGAAACATGCAACCTCAATTTCAATTACAAAGCGTCCAATGCAAATTTCAAACGTGCCTGTTATAAGACCCAATCAGACCTGCCAGACGTGACTGATTGGCAGCTTCCAGACCTCGTCAGACCGCGTCCATCAGCCAACAATGAACGCTTCAGACTCGTCACACTCTCGCTTATTGATTTGTCACGCTCTTCACTACCAAATTACCTTCCCCAGTCTTTTCTTATTGCTAGCCTATTTCATCCTTTATAATTTGCCAACAATTAACATTCACAGCCTTCTTCTAGTAGGGATAAAATTGTAAAGAATGTTTTTTTTTCGAATAAATCACGTTAACTCAATCAGCGTCAATAACCAATGTTGCGCTAAAGCTGGCTATTGATTTATAAAATATTCTTCCGAACCTTTTATTTAGTTGAATCAATCCTGACACCGATAATATCATACATACCACCGGAATTTTCATAGTACTATCATACCTAACACTGGCACTTTCATACCAAACACCGGCATTTTCATAATACTTTCATACTTCGGTACTTGAGGCGACCGGTCACTCGCGCCGAACAACAGGTGTTCGCTGATACAAGCCTGCTGCCTACTCCGTCGCTGATAACAATAATAAATATTTACGGCAAAAAAAAAATTCTTATCAGTGGGCGGGTGATGGGCGCGTACTGCTTGCTATCAGTGACATCCTTGTTGATGATAAGAGACGGGCTAGTATGATGGATGATCGTCATGCACAATCATGAGGACCGTCTACAAAACTCTACATGACCTACGCAGTCATCCTGCATGACCTTCTACATGGCATACGCAATTATCCTGACCTTTGAAATGGAATATCCTATCGACATGACCTTCTACAAGGTTACAGGACACACAAGGCGCAGAGCGATAGCAGCATGATAACAAATTCAATTTTTCATTGCTTATACACATTAAAACAATATTTCGATAATTATTGTATAAAAAAAGAATGCTTCGAATTTTCCGCTCGAACTGAAAAAAAATCCAGCGGGCGGGAGCAGCAGGATAGCACAGCCCTCATAGCTCAGTGGCTAGAGCACTGGTCTTGTAAACCAGGGGTCGGGAGTTCAATTCTCCCTGGGGGCAAGTTTTACCTGTGTTGAGGTTGTTAAAGTGGATTCATTCAGTCGTTGTCAAGTGAATTCATTTCGCGGGTTGGGGCAGAGGTGTGAATGGTAGGGTGCTGAAACATGCATGTGCAGGCGTATTCACTGCCATGAATGGCTCAACAGGTGTTGAAATTGTGGAATGAATGCCGCTCTATGTGTTGTCTGTTGAGTTGAAAATGTTCACTGGTATGGACATTTTTGATTTTACATTCGATTTCAGGAATATTTTCGTGCGGACAATGTTGCTGCGCGAATTTATAACATAAATTTTCATTATTTATGAAAATTATACATACAGTATAATTTTCCGTCATTACTTCACGCCCTAATTCCATCATGTAATTTCGTTAATAATTTAGACTTGCGTATTTGTTATCGATGATCCTTCATTTTGTGATTCCACCTTTATAGGCCTAATAGGTTTCTTTGCAGCATAGGTACTTTATTTCTTATTATTATGAATTAAGGCGCCCACGAAATAATTGGAATCATACATACTAGATCAGTCTTTGCCATCATTTTTTTTAGATTCATTGAATATCGATGTAAAGTATTTGAACTTTTATTTGATTTTCACCATTTGATGAACCGTGTTCAAACGTTTACAACGATAAATGAACGACGTATAAATGCACAAAGCGTAAAGTTAAATGATTTGATAATTAATTGAATTTAATTAAATTTAAATTTATTTTAAATTTTTTATTTTTAAATTTAATTAAATTTAAATGTTGTTTCAGGGAGTGGTTCTTCGTTTTTATCTCACGAAATTGTCGTGGATTAGAGAACCGCGTGTTGAAAACACGGACACGTGACGTCTGATATCGACCGTGTGCACGTGGTCGATATATACGTTGACTACGGCAGATGGAGTGGCTGACTCATGCCGGTCCCGGGGGTGTTCAACGGGGGATATAAAGTGGATATTATTAATTCAGTAGTGGAATATGTGGGGGACGGTTAAATGTTTAACGAGGATATAAAGTGTAAATTATTAATTCAGTACTGTTAAAGGGGTGGGGGACGGCTAAATGTTCAACGGGGATATAAAGTGGAAATTTTTATTAAATTAGTACAGTGGAATGGGTGGGGGACGGCTAAATGTTCAACGGGGGATGTAAAGTGGAAATTTTTATTAATTCAGTACTGTTAAAGGGGTGGGGGACGGCTAAATGTTCAACGGGGGATATAAAGTGGAAATTTTTATTATTTTAGTATAGTGGAAGGGGTGGGGGATGACGGTTGGATGCCACGGTTTAAGAAAGGTTTAATTAAGTATTTAAAATATTCGTATTAATTATAATGCGTACAGGAGGAGTACATTTATTGCATGATGAGTCACAACAACAATCGCCAATAACGAAAATCATTTTTTATAGCACGAAGATGATGCAATTGACAGGATTTTGAAATGCGTTACCTAAACGTTATTTCATTTAGCGATTGATTTCTAAATTACGAAAATAGCAGAGGCTTAAATGGGTCGCGATGGCTTTCAACGCAATTTAAATCAAATAAAGTTAAAGACTCTTTATTTATTTCAATGATCGCCTTATATTCCATCGTAAATTCATTCGTAGAATGCTGCAATTCTGTATCATTTTGCATAATGAACCATAAACTATCAAAGAAATGCTACTATTTTTAAGCTATTCATCGCAAATTGTGCAAGAAACATCATTGCTCATAGTGCAAGGAACATTAGCACTGTTTATTGGACATTGAACAGTAAACATTGACACTTTCTATGCCATTTATTTAGCACTTTTCTACTTTCATCTACTCAACAATGTATATTGTTTTTTATCTAACAATATCTACTACTATCTACCTAATAATATATACTGTTATCTACTTAACAATATCGACTATTATATACCTAACAATATATGTTGTTATCTACATAATAATATATACTATTATCTACTTAACAATATATACTATTAATTAATAAACCTAGCAATATCTACTTTTATCTACCTAACAATATCTACTGTTATCTACCTAACAATATACAAATAGTTGTCATCAGGTGGCGGGTGTCCGTGGGCCGCGTGGATGCTGTACAGATATCGACCTCTCATGAATAAGTGTTCAGTTCAGCTGTTCTCGCCAGTTATTGATCAATGCGGCGGTTTGTGCCTATTGATTTTCAGGGCGCGTTCAGAGAAATGAGCGAGTCTTTGTCCGAATATCGATGCAATTCTTGCCTTGGGAGGGACCAAATTTGTCCCTATCAAAAATGCGTATCACTGCTACCGTACGTACAGAGAGTGTGTTAATATTTGGACAACATGACTCATTAATTTTTCTGAATGTGGAAGTGACGTGTTTTTTCGCTTAAAGTAATGTTCCCGCTGAATATTAACGAAAACTAAATATTAGAGCAATAGGAAGAGATTTTTTGATACATTACGCAAAATTAATGTTTAATTAGAGAAAGTTGTATTGAGATACATGATGCTTTATTTGTGATGAAAATGTGACTCGGTTATGCTTAACGAAAATTTCGTTGTCAATAACACTACAAAGTTATTGATACAATGATACTCATAGTAATACCTCGCTTAGTCCACGATTCTTTAAGATAAACACTCGAAATACACGTAAAGCTGTTCAACTCAAGCACAAAAACGACAACAACGAACACAACAATAACAACAACAACAAACGACAACAAAAACGACAACTACAACAACAACAAGGACAACAACAACGATAAGAACAACAACGACAAGAACAACGATAACAAAAACAACAAAAACGACAACAAGAACGACGACAACAACAAAAGCAACAATAACAACAACGACGACAACAAGGACAACAATAACAAAAACAACAGCGACAACAACAAAAACAACGACAACAACGACATGAACGACAACAACAACGACAACAATAACAACAACGACAAGAGCAACAACGATAACAAGAACAACAACGACAACAATAACAACGATAACAAGAACAACAACGATAACAAAAACGACAACAACAACAACGACGAGAACAATGACGCCAACAAAAACAACAATAACAACAACGTAAAGTGTTGCGTGGGGCCGGCACCGGAAGCACCTCGCGACCCTGGGGCGTGGACGCCGGCAGCGATGACGAGGGTGGCTACAGCGAGAACAAAACTGGTGTCAAGAACACCGACGATATATCTACCTTACTTGTATCAGTATATGTAAGTATCATATAGACATTTCAGTAAAAAAATATCAAGATAATTGCTCTATGAAAAGCCCAGAAATGGTTTGGAAAAACAACATGAACAGCAGTGGAAACTACAACGGTTTTAGCTACAATACCAAGTTTCTGGAATACAATAAATAATACTATTACATTCATCGACTGCCTACAGTTTGAAAAAAACTGTCGTAGTGAATTACGATTCGGTACTTACGGTGAATTACGATACGGATCATACGGTATTCGGTGAATTACGATACGGATCATAAATTATAGGTAAGATAATGGAAACAACCGATCATTCCGGAAAGATTTATTACTCATTACGTTGTATAATAAAATGCCTATGCGTGAGTACATATTAAAAAAAATGATCACAGTGACGACATAACGCTATGTGAGATATTACTAGTACATAACAATAATAAATAATCCAATAGTCATGTATATTAACTGTGTTATGCTTTTTTTATAACATAGTTCCTTATTACACCTTATATAATTATTTCCCGTGCTGCTTATGAACAAGTTCAGTTCTTACATAAACTTGCTACTCACAGGGACACATAATGACATGGGAAATATTTACGATAACGAATAAATATCGAATAGGTGTGATGATAGTCATCACCATTACGTACGACACCGTTCAATCAACTCACTCAGATTAATAAAATAAACATCTTGTTGCAAATTCAATAGGCTACGATAAGGTAAGAACAATATTGAACATTTCTAAAACATATAACAATATTGAACATTTCCTCCTGAGCATTTTCCAACACTGAGCAAATACAAGGAGTGAATCGCATTTGAAGAATTAACATTTATGTTGCGCAGCAATTAATGCAGCACATCTCATAATGCTGCTAATAAAGTGATTTTTTATGTGTTAATTGCAAGTTTATGGCATGAAAGTTGACCTTCTCGAATTTATCAAAGTTAGCAGCCATATATGAGCACGTTCACGGTCTACTTTCTTACTCGAAACGCCTACGACTTTTGAGAGGGTTATGATAATTCGTCCAAATATCAAACTTCAGTTCATTCATTTATACATAATTGATTTTTGCATATATTTTTTATAGACGGTCATATACACACTTTAATTGTAAGTTTTGCAAAGGCTACCGAACTTGATACGCTTTTCTGCAGGGTGTAAACCTCATCTGTTTTATATGCCTTTGACTAAGACAACCAGATTTACTTTCATTTACATCCTAGACGCTATAGCCATGCACTTTTACTGTCCTTGAATCATGGTTTGCACTGAATTTTACTCGATGATTGCGAGGAGGTCGCGCCGAGTGGGAATTTACGTTGTCATTCTGATCTCGATGCAGATTACTAATATTAATTTCACGGCAGATTGTTACCGTTAAGGCTTTGAGAGCCGTTTTAATTCCGCATCGGATTGTTACCGATAGGTCTTAAGGAATCGTTTTAATTTCGTTAATTTAAAAATTTTTACCGTTAGGTCCTAATGTCCCGTTTTTATTCCGCTGCAGATTGTTACAGTTATGTCCTAGGTCCCTTTTTATTTTCGCTGCAAATTGTTACCTTTAAGTTTTTAAGAACCGTTTTGATCTCGAGGCAGATTGTTTCCATTCGCTCCCAAAGTCCCGTTTTGATCTCGATGAAAATTTTTATCGCGTGCAGACGAGCCGTTTTCAATTCCGTGTAGATTTAAATCTTGAGCAGAGATACCGTTTTGATCTCGATGCTGACTGTTGCCATTAAGTGCACTTGGGGTTTGAAGGATAATGTAACTATTGGGAACTTTTCCTCCGAACATTTCAGCGACTTGAGCCAAGGTTTTGCCCTTAGTTTCCTTGACACAAGTGAACGCAAAAATTCCAGCCAATATACAGAAGATTGCGTACAGCCAGTAGAACCCGGGTAGAGTTAGAGCAGCCTGTGGGTAGTATAAAGGGTATATTAAATAATATAAATATTTTTTACGAAATTGTTTATTCAGAGCAGCCTGCGTGCAGATAGAGTGGTATATTCAATTATATAAATATTTTACGCTTAATTGTTTATTCAGAGCAGCCTGTGTGTGGTATAGAGGGGTATATTCCATTATATAAATATTTTACACGAAATTGTTTATTCAGAGCAGCCTATGTGTGGTATAGAGTGGAATATTCAATTATATAAATATTTTACACGAAATTGTAGATTCAGAGCAGCCTGTGTGTGGTACGGACAGAGATTGGTATTACTACTAAGGAAATAGGTCACAGTGAAAGTTTAAGTACCTAACTATATTGAACGTTTATGGGATTAGTAAAGTTATAGAAATGTAACCGCATTAGGACAGTAATGAAAGCTTAATTGGATTTTTAGTAAAGTTACGAACTCGCCTGCAAAGAGTCGAAGGAAAATGTGACGAAGAAAGCCGTGGAGAACATCACACATACAGCCAACCCGGCCGCTGTCTCTCTGATGCTGGGAGGGAACATTTCGCCTGCACGTGTTCAAATTCGCGAGATACTTAATTAAATAAATACTTAAATACCTAATACTTAATAAGTATTAATAAATACTTAAATACTCAATTTTATTTTGTATTTACTCTAAATATATATTTAATGTTATTGAATATTTAATTTTATTATATATTTAATTTTGAATAAACATATTTTTTTATATATTTGATTTCAAATAAATATTAAAGTTAATTTATCAATAATTTTGATTAAATTAAAGTAAATGATGAGCATTGAATTGAGGTGTCATGAATGCATTTCTTTTATGGAACATATCAGCGAGTTTGTTGGACCGAGTTATCCCACTTTTTTGAAATTATTGATCGCTGTCATACATTCATTACTCAAACAATTTTTTAGACATTGATCGTTCTCATATACAGGTATTCAATACTCAAACAATTTTTTAGACATTGATCGCTCTCATATATTCATTACTCAAACAAATATTTAGACAATGAAGTACACCAAACTCGTACCTACAGAGTACCAAATGCGTACCTAAAGAGTACCAAATGCGTACATATAGAGTACCAAATGCGTACCTATAGAGTACCAAATGCGTACATATAGAGTACCAAATGCGTACCTATAGAGTACCAAATGCGTACCTATAAGCACTAGAGGCACGGGTCCGATGCCCACAGAGAAAGTGAGCATGAAGAGCATGACTGCGGCCAGGGGCAGCCAGAAGAGTCGTTCCAGAGTCCACGCGGGGGCGCTCTGTAGCTCGAAGAAATACGCCCCCAGACAAGCTATAAGGGGGAGGAAATATGCGTAGTGTTATGCGTGTGTTGCGTTATATTCATTAAATGTTACTACCCATCATCACTTTTTATTAAATTAAAGAGACCCTGCATGAGTTCGTAAATATTAGGGGTAGGGTGGCACATCAGATTTGAAATTACTTTTTTTTACAATTAAACGCAATTTAAATATTTATTGATTGAATTTACAATTTTTATATAAACTTAGCGTTTCAACAATACGATTTCGAAGCATTATAACATAATTAGTTACAGACATGCTTTAGATTGAATTACAATTAAGAAAAATACGCAATTTCCAAAAATTAGAATTGCACGGGAATTTACTTCCTGTATGGCGTACATCAACTCATTTGTAGACCTTACGCTGATTTGTTGCGCCTTTAGATTTTCAGGCTTGCTTATCAACATTTTGTGGTTTTACAATCAATCCTATTGATGAATATACCTTTGTATATTCATCCCCTAGGTTCCCCTAGAAATAACTGTTAGAAATAAGGTTCCCAGTGAAAATATTCTAAGGGGAACCAGGGGAACAGTTTCTAACAGTTATTTTCAGGGGAAATATATATATATATATATTCTATATATATATTTCAATAATATAGAAAGTTGTAGTGTAGTGTACTAACCATGGGAGATTGTCATGCCGACACACGAGACGACAAGCAGTAGTCTCCTGCCGGTGTTTTCAATACACGCGGTGCCGATGATGTTGCCGATAACTTGGAAGCTGATGCTTACTATGCTGCTACCGTAGTCCGACAGATGGCTGCCCGATTGCTGACAGTCAATAATGTTAAATTAATCAATAAGATAATACAAATCAGCTGAAAATAAAGTAAAATATTGCATTGAAAAATTCACTCTCGACTCTCACATCCCGTATATGTGTCTCTTAATCGATAATTCCGATATCCATGAAACGTGCAAAGTACATTTTAATTAACAATTAATTTTCGCTGAGTAAATACGTTCATTTCTGAGTTGAGTTTTTAGCTTTAATAAAACCCGTTTCTTTCTCGCTGAACAAAGGTTTATTCTTAACATTAATTAAGTTTTCACCTTGAATATCGAAGCTAAGTTGAATGTGATAGGTACCTATGAAACGCGCAAAGTACATTTTAATAACTAGTTAATTTTCGCTGAGTAAATACTTTCATTCCTGAGCTGAGTTTTTAGCTTTAATAAAACCCGTTTCTTTCTCGCTGAACAAAGGTTTATTCTTAACATTAATTAAGTTTTCACCTTGAATATCGAAGCTAAGTTGAATGTGAGAGCTTCGATGCCGCTGAGCTGCACGAACGCGCACAGCACGAGCCCGATAACGAGGGGTATGTGCACGCTGCGCTGCCGTAGCACTGTTAACGACAGCTTGTCTTTTGTGGCTTCCAATTGATATGCCTTCAAGTCTTCAAACTCCTGCGATATGTTCGTGTCTGGGCCTTGATGATGAAAAAAATGTTTTTAACTTGCGAGTTCGATAATCATTTAGTCATATTGTCGCTACGATATATTGCGAATATAGATGAAATTTTCATAGTTGTAATAAGTCATCAAACTCCTGCGCTAGTATGTCTATGTCTGGCCAAATGATAAAAAAACAAGATTTTAAACTGTTCAATCATTAAATCGTTGGAAAAATCTTGCAATATAGAAAAACGGGGATAATGTATCGCAATTTCTGTAGCGTGTTCATTGATTACCCTGGCTTTATAATCATATAAACTTTGAACTATAAATGATAGTAGGTATTAGGTGAATGCGTAAAACTAAGATTAGTAACTTTGCCAATGTAATTCCAGAAAATTCCTACAATTACGAAAATGTTTTGCATGCACAAATTGAAATTAAAATTAATATAGCAGCAGCGGCAATTAATTGAGTTTTTCTTTAACACTAATCTGAGATCCATTACGATTTGAGCAAATGTTTGTCAAATATTTTCTGGTTACTTAGGAGTTTTGCTAATGAGATACGTAATGTAATCATGAATTCAAATACTCAATAACTTGTCACGATTTCTTCATTAGACAATCAAATAGGTAAGTACTTAATCAAAAACCCACAAAACGCCAATTGTTTACTTCCATTTTATGATTCTATTTGGTTGAAAACTGAAGATTTCAGCGTTCGCTGACCTACCTCTGAAATGTTGTAGAGATCTGCGGGCTTCTTCGAAATTAGCTTTGTTGATGAGGTAGTTGGGAGATTCCTTGCAGAAGTAAATTGAAATGCAGAGAAGGAAGACAGGAGTGGTCGCTATCAACGCCAAATCCTGCCATTGCGTCACAGATCCGATGACAATCACGAACAGTTTTCCCAGAGAGAGCGACATGTCCGCGAGCAGAACTGCACGCAGTGATTGCCATTACTGTATAGCAGTACTGCACGCAGTGATTGCCATTACTGTATAGCAGTACTGCACGCAATGAATACCATTACTGTACCATTACATCACTCCAAGGAGGAAATGATTTATTGCTACACTCACAAAAATTAATGGGTCACATTTTTCCAAACAATGACACTTCTTTTTTCGCAGCACAGGCAAAGAGCGAGCGTACTGATGCGTGCTCTTTTGCCGGGCTAAACTGGGTCAGGATAACCCATACAAAGGCGAAAATTGCATTGCTATATGAAAAAAGTCTCGCTAATTTTTCTGAATTTAAATAGAGTAAAGATGAAAAAATAGAGAGATTTGAACTACCGACAATACCTATAACGTCGCCACAGCACTCAAGTCGCCGGCCTTCAATAGAATAGGTGCATTTTTAAACGAAACTGAACCACAACTTTCTAGCACGATCAAAACATCACCGTATTCATCATGTGGTTATCAAATCCTAGAAATCTTAATTCTGACCATTATTATACGGATAGCGACTCGTGTTTCATTGCAAACTCACTTAAAAAGCCCCTGATATCAGGCGACGACACCTCTGCTACGTAGATCAGGGCAGGTATCACCGCCGTGCCTACGAAGAACCCAGTCAGAATTCGTCCCAGAATCAGCACCCCCAAGTTATTGCCAAAACCTGCACGGATGTCCAGCAAATTTGAACAAGAATACGAAGCATTTGAACAGGTGAATCAACAATTTAAAGTTTTAAATTATTGAGCTGTGGTCTACGGAACGTTTTCAATTAAGTTATGCTGAATTTAATTAGTATTTACTTAGCTTTTAGATGCATTATTACCGTAACTTATTAGCTTCACTACATTATTACCTTAACTTATTAGCTTCACTAAACTAATATAAACTCAACTATTTGACCAATGATATAAATCAAAGTCTCACCAATAAGGAACCACCCCATGACAGCCGGTATAACAGCAGCCAATAAACTTCCTCTCCGACCCAAGGCGTTTTGGAAGAGGCTTGATACAAAGCCCCCGACGATGGCACCAAGAGTTGTAGACGATGAAAACCATGCCAGCTCATTAGACGTCATCGTCAGCAATCCATTGGTCGAATTAGATTCCGTTGAATTCTTCCCAGAGATAAAATTCGAAAATTCCATTCTGACGTCATTCAGCAAATCGCTTTTCGCATAATCCCGATTCAGTACCTCTCGCTCTGGCAGTTCGGCAGATGACAAAAGAAAGTTGGTGTTGTTTCTAGCGTTGAATTGGTGATGTGAATTCACCAAATTAGGGTCCATAATATCGTCATTATAGTAGCTGTAAAGTTTAGTGTCGTTATAACCTAGTGCTTCGTTATGGATTAAATCATTGTGTGAAGTCGTCATCGTGAAATCATTAGTTAGGTTGAGTGGTGCCGGATGTTTGCTGTCGTTCCGAATTTGGTAAGAAGCGGGACTGGAGAAGCCGATGATCATGCCCACGGAGAACGTCGCCAAAGAAGCTGGTAGCAGGAAAATGCCGCGTTAATAACTTACCAGTTAATAAATAACCGGCTACTGAGTAGCTTGACTATCATTTACGTTGTATATTTTTCACTTACTTTCCTACTTTTTTATCTGAAAATGTTGTATCCTGTATCTCTAACAAGTTAAATGTTCTTACAGACATCAGAAACTTGCATTAAATTAGTATTAACGCGCATGTGAAGAGCAAAAAAATCGTAGGCCCAAAAATAATTCCCAACGATCCATTTGCAACCAAAACGCCATGAAATATTAAAGTTTACCATTAAAAATTACAAAATAGTCATATACTGATAACCATACCTGAAAAAGTGGCAAAATATTGGGTGCGGCGAAATGCTCTGCCATTACGAGTCGACAGCAAGGGAGTCTTGATGAAGGACCGAGCCATCTTGTTGCTTGATCATTAATAGATATTGGTCACTGATGATTTATCAATTCATCGATCTTGGTTCCAGATCATTAATCGATTTATCGATCTTAGTTCCTGGTCATTTATCAATTTATCGACCTTGGTTACTGATCATTTATCAATTTATCGTTCTTGGTTCCTGCTCATTTATCAATCTTGATCCCTGATAGTTTATTAATTCGTCGATCTTGGTCCCTGAAAATTTATTAATGAATCCATCTTTGTCTCTGATCATTTATCAATTTGTCGACATATGCATAAAGAAGGGAAGACAAAATCAAACTATCTTTGTCACTAAGAAACTGACAAATGATTGCCTAATATTCTCGTAATATGAAGCGCCTACTAATAAGTCTCTCATCATCCGATAAATAATCATGAACGAAAAAGAATGCGAAAGAAATGTGAGAAATATTTTATTTATTTCAGTTATTCAACTGCATTTGCCGCGCGTAGATCTTGGATGGCCTAGAATACGCCCGCGGTGACCTATTATACGCAAAACAGAGCTATTCAGGGAGTTGTTCTAGTAGACTATTGAGTCTAACCGAACCTTGAGCTACATGATTTTTCTTAACAAGTTCCCAGTAGAAAATTATAGGAACTAAATTTTTGAATTGAGTGATTACAATTTCGTGATGCATACCTCCAGGGAGTAACTCGTAAAACGAGACTACGTTCAGAGAAATGAGTGGGACTTTGTCCAAATAGAGATGCATTTTTCGACCCTGTGTGAGTAATCATGACCCATTTTGACCCAGCCAAATTGTCCTTTCTTTGCACGTGCCATGGGTAAGAAAGTGCGTCAGTATTTGGACAATAAGACCCAATAATTTTTCCGAATGCACCCTTCAGTAGTTAGTTAGGCGGAAGAGATCGATTGCGAATAACGGCGCGCTTTAGGATTGCTTCTGTTGCTGTGATATCACACTTCCGCTACATTTATACCGGTACTTCCACTACCGTATCACACTTCCGCTACATTTATACCGGTACCCCCGTTACCGTATCACACTTCCGCTATATTTATATACCGGTACTTCCGCTACCGTATCACACTTCCGCTACGTTTATACCGGTACCCCCGTTACCGTATCACACTTCCGCTATATTTATATACCGGTACTTCCGCTACCGTATCACACTTCCGCTACGTTTATACCGGTACCCCCGTTACCGTATCACACTTCCGCTATATTTATATACCGGTACTTCCGCTACCGTATCACACTTCCGCTATATTTATGCCGGTACTTCCGTTACCGTATCACACTCCCGCTACATTTATACCGGTACTACCGCTACCGTATCACACTTCCACCATACTACCGGTACTTCCGCTACCGTATCACACTCCCGCTACATTTATACCGGTACTACCGCTACCGTATCACACTTCCACCATACTACCGGTATTTCCGTTACCGTATCACACTTCTCTTAACGTCAGCATTCTACCCGTTATAATGCCGCTAAACATGTTAATCTCTCTATCACTTTTTCTCTCTATAATATTCGTAACCCTGACGCTCTACCTATAGGCTATATCATCGAGGCTGTCAACAAAACGAACGCTGGTTTTTCTTCCCTTTAATGTTCCTGTAAGCCGTAAGTGGCACGAAAAAAAAGAACATTTCCTTGAATTGTAGCGTGGTAAATAATGGAACGAAGATTGACACAGGCTAAAATGAACCAATTAAAAGTTATACTGACGCTCTTGACAATTAGGTTAGTTGTCGGTATTTTGGACAACGTAAACAAATTATCATGGTACCGGGGGTATGTAGTCCCGCTCATAAAACAGATATTCGCAACTAAAACAATTATAAACAGTAGAGCGAGCGTCTACAAATAATAAGATACTCACAACCGTGATTACAACCCTCAGGCGGTACGACGAATGGACAACCTATACCATAAACGCTAATTGGCACCGCACTAAAATTTATTCACTGACTAGCTAATTGTCCGTGTGGCCACCGTTCCGCAAAATGTTGTGACTGATTGATTGTGGCCGTTAAATAGATTTTAATGCGGATCGTGACAATTCGAAAACGTTCATTTTTTTATGTGTGATAGCGTTTTTTGATAAATTGATAAATCTTCATTCAAGATAATATTGCTGATTTGCAATTAAAATACTCGTGTGATACACAGTATACGCCGCGCATGTCGAATTACGAATTTCAAACATAGTAAAGGTGATGATAGTGCTATTTCTATGCTAGTTTGATAAAGGACCAGAGCATAACCTACAGTAAATTCTCTTTTATTATTGATATGCACTAATAAACAGTTTTTATATGCTTAGTCAATGAGTAGAGAATAGCCTGGACCAAAGATTTTCATTTATTTTGTGTTAAATTTTGTTATAGATTTAAATGGTACGTTATGACTTGAATAATCTGCGCAACGATCATAGTCGATAGGTATTTATTTTTACGACCAACCAATAATGATCAACATACTAATGTCATCAATGTTTAAGTTATTTCACATCATAAACAAGGATCTACTCAAGAATGCATGAGTAATAGAAGATTCTGAAAAACAAAACAAGCAATAAATCAATAATGGCATTCCTACAACCGTGACCAGGAAGGCAATCCGATTGGCATGGTGATATTTGAGCCGCGGTAAATCTGATGGCCGATGACCTTGGAGTGCTCTGCTCTACCGACAATATTTAAGTGGTTAATTACTTAGAAATCTTATGCTTTATTGTAATCATAAGTTCCGGCGAGACAGAAATTTTTAAAATGATCGAAATTTTTAAACAAAGAGATTGATTGAAAATTTGGGCTTCTCGTTTACGATCGACAGGATTGATTGGGTTTGACCTTGATTGATCATTGGTGAATTGGTGATTAGTTATAGACCATGTGATATTCATATTGTATCTATTTCTTATTAACTGGAAAAATACTTCAAGATTGACTGTTCAATTGATGATTTGAATCCAGTATTTACGGTCATGTTAGAGTTTACGGTCATGTAAGTCTTGTAAGATGACTCACTGTCATCTTAAAAGTTATAGCCATCACATAACTCACGATCATCGTAATTCTTGAACGTTACGACCATTACATCGCAGAACTAAATATATCTTAGAATAAAAGTTAAGACCATCATTAAATTAAAAATCATCACTGAAGTTGCGACCATTGAAGAAATCACGGTCTCCGTTCAAACGTAGTAGGTAAACGCAGCTGCTGCTATCGAACTCCAGACAGCTGAGCGAAATTCGCTGCAAGTGAACTTCCCATTTCATAACCAATCACTTAATTCCACATCAATCAACAATTTACAGCCGATCTCACCTTCACATCACACAGTTAAAACCTTCATTCACATTTATATGTTACTCAAATTAAATATATTACTTTTAATGGTCATTTCAATGTAAAGTTTTGACTGTAAAATGCGAGCTGAAGTCTAGACGGCACTACAAGTTAGGCGACGGTGGCCACACTGGCCGTGCCAGAGCAAAGCTGTGAGCCAAGCTGCTAGACTGGAACAACCGCTTCGTGCTGCACTTGCTGCCTGTATAAAACTGCTGCTCATCGTGCTTAAAATAATGCTACTGCTGCTTGAAACTAATGCTGATGTTGCTCTTGCTACTGTAAACTAATTTTGTTGTTGCCCTAAAGTCCTGAACTAATGTTCTTCTGCTGGAAACTAAAACTACTGCTGCCTTTAACTAGTGTTGTTGCTGCTTGAAACTAATGCTGTTATTGCCCGTACTGCCATAAACTAATGCTGCTCAGAGCGCAGCAATTCAACTTTTAGCTAATCATGCAGATAATTAATGTTACTAAAGTTCATTGCTATTTGCGGACTACACTCGTGTTCATGTCATACTAGATTACTAGTTTCCGATGCTAATAAACTATAGGCTTCGGCCTTCTTGACCAGTTTCAACACCTGCAACGCTAGCGCCGTTTGCACAGGTGTCAAGGGCTGCAGTTGATGAGGTGCACATCGAGACTTCAGTCTTGACTTTTGTTGGCCTCAATGAAGTTCTTGGCTACATATAAAACGTTTTATAAAATTACATTTACTTTGCTTGCGGCGAGTGAATCAAATTGCTGTTTTGAAAACATCAACTTATTCTAGAGAAAAGTCGATAATTCGCATGTTACCAATTGTAATTCAGTTGTATCCACTGATAAATGAATATCACTGGATTTTGCGTGAATAAAGTACAAATCATGCATGATGTATTCATCTTTTACCTTTAATTAACTCAAATCTTATCGCTCCGGCGAGTAAAATCTTAATTACTATTAAATTATTATTATTCTAATACTACGTAAAATATTTGGAATTTAGTTATTTCTCAGTCATGGTTCTCCGTTGTACCCTATCTTCCGTCATTTATTGATTAACAAACGCTAGTCAAAAGTTTCGCAGCTTACGAAATAGATTCTCAACAAATTGAAACTCGTTGACCAACTTCTCTTGCTATTTTCATCCGAAGGTTAGCGTTAACACGACAATGGTGACTTACGACACTGGTAACTTACGACACTGATGACTTACGACACTGATGACTTACGACACTGATGACTTACGACACTGATGACTTACGACACTGGTCTGGTTCATGCGCTCTTTGCCCTTTACGTCAGCCACACCAGCTCGACTTGAACGAAACACTAACGACGGATGCTGAAATTTGATGGAGCTCATACTGATTAAAATTGCCTCGGTGGGCAATTACGTGCACAAAAGTTGCAAGGATGACGGAATTAATCAAGTGCAGGATATATTTTGGTATTTATCCTGTACGCATGGCAACAAATGAAGTAAGAAAAATTTATGTAAAATATCTGGAAATATTTGATAACAAAATGCTGTATATCTATATACTTCAAATTATCAGCCCCTGAATCGTGATATGTAGATCATACAATTAAAATACAACACCTATGAAGTCATTACGCGTAAATCATCCTTTAATTCATCTATAATCCACTTACATTATAACTTAGTTACTTAATCAGGATTTAATACTTGTAACTCACGCAGCAGCTAATTACTACCCATAAGAGCGTCATGCATGCATGAATCCCGATCTGGATCGACAGACCAGATCGAGCGCTGGATGTAGATAATGCATCAAAATTAAGTAGATAATTTATTAAAATTATGCAGATAATGCATTAATAATAAGGTAGATAATGAATTAAAATAATGCAGATAATGTATTAAAATTATATGTAGATAATGTATTAAAATTATGCAGATAATTTATTAAAAGTATGTTGATAATGTATTAAAATTATGCAGATATTGTATTAAAATTATGTAGATAATACATTAAAGTTATATGCGTAATGTATCAGAAGTTTGTCCATAATTCATTAAAATAATACATGGAGTGCTTCAAAATTATGCAGATAATGCATTAAAATCATGTATATAACGTATAATGAAGTTACTGAGACGTGACCGAAATCTCCTGGTGACGGTGAGAACCTCGAGATTTCCAAGAGCGCAGGTAATGAGAGTTCCGGCGACCGCAGGATGCGCGGTGTCACTAAATTTTTGTCTTCCTGGGCGTTGTGCTTAGCGCAACACTGCGCATCTTTAGCTTTTGTATCTATGGGCGCAACAGAAGCCTTGGGTAGCGCTAGAGTTAATGAAGAGTTAAGTATTTTCGAGGCTTTTAAATTTTTATGACGATTTAAGGCGTGGAAAATTCTCTTCGTTACTTCATATCCCTTTTAATAAATAAAAAGTAAGGATTTTTCAACTTTAACTACATAAGAATGCAAGAAATATCAATGAAAACTATAGGAAATTCCTGAGCAAAAATGTGATCATCGTGTAAATTCTATGTATAATCTTTGCATTATATTTTCTATTCGGCTTCAGGTGCGACGCACAAATTCTGATGACACTTGAACAACTGCTAAACTTAGCACGCGTTCACTTAGTGGCGCTTTGTTCACATGCGGTCAAAATTTCCGTACCTGCTTAACGCTTGGCAATGTCTTCTCTTCATCTTTAAAGGATTATTGAACTTTTTGCACTAACTTCACTGAATCTACTAATGCGTTCTACTATGAACTTTATACCCTCGAATTCCCCATTAAGTAAATAATAGTTTATGTCTTGACGTAAAAACGTTCAATAATGATTTCGACCTCGAAGTCGAAGTCGGGACAGGAAAGCCGGAGGCGGTGCCGCGATGGCAGCCTCGAGCTGTGATGCCTGCGTGTCCGTTTCCTGCCAGTCTTTGCCACGCATTCTATTTTTTGAGGTAACTTTTTTCCGACATGTACTTTTCTGAGTGTCGTCTTTGTGGTTAGGTGAGGTGGGGAGTTGTTTTTTTTTTTTGTAGATCATTATCGTATTCGTGATTAGGTTCAAGATTACGCTCGTTGTTTCCCTTCTTCAGTTAATGTCATTCCTTTCTTCGGTTGATTCTAAACGTGAATTTTTGTAGCAGCAGTGTAAACCATACCGAAATTATACACTTTGGAATCACTGTGTGATGACGAATTATTCTATCTATTATAACTTAATCAGTAAATGTATTCACCTTGGAATAAAAAAATTTTTAGTAGTAGTTTATGCACGAATTCTAAGATAGTTTGAAAGTAATGCAATACGACAATCAACAAAGTTACATGCATTCTCCCCCTGAAATTTTATTCTAAAATAACTCTTTATATTATGCATTTAACTTCATTCGTGTGTCTGGTAAAATAAGCCCCTATGTTTTGTTTGTGTAAATTCGTTAGCATGTTCGTTAAAATAAGCCCTTATATGGTGTATGTATAATATATACGTATTTGTTCGTAATGATCCAGCTGATCCGGCACCGGATGCAGCGCCGCTTAATTTGTCCCGGACAAAACCCCGGACGGAATACAGAGCACCTGGAATGGGAATCACCGGAACCCTGAACACCTGGAATACGAGATGCTTGAACGCGTGCCCGCCGGATGCGTGCCATCTGGCCACACACGTAACACCTACACGTGTGTAGGTGTTACGTTACCTCACGTGCCCTGTACGTATCTCCACAGCACAACATTTGTTTACTAGCAGGCGCCCTGCTTGAACTTCTGCGTGGCTAGAAATACGTTTTTTATGTGTTTCGTTTATT